ATCTTCTGTGAACGAGATGAGGCGTTGCATCTTCACTGCTAGTCACGTGCTTAGCCAAATGCGCGGGAAGGGGATGGACGAAAAGTGTGTCACGTGATGTTTTCACGATCCCTGTCTGATGGAAAAAGAGTAACTTTAATTCACTCCATTTCAATTTTTCCTTTTGTGCTTTTATTTGACTGATTTTACTGAATCTAAACTTGTGTTCTTCTTAGTTCATCCGCCGTTCAGTTTCTGTCGGCAGTTATTCTTTCCAATTGCACATATTAATAAATTAGCGTAATTCTGGCATTCTTTCTTTAATTCGGTCGATTTTTCGTTAGTTTTTGCGTCATCATTACTTTGGTTATTTCTCGTTTTCGCTTTTCAATCAAAGCCAGAGATAGCAAAGTAAAACGAGAACCTCACCAGTCCACCATAGTTGCTGACGGCGACCGTGGAGCTTGGATCGGAGGCGACATGTCCGAGATAGTATGTGTTTTCTGGTACTGGATATGACGTCATGGAACCGTCGCTGTTCTCACGGAGAACCTTGAGACCCGGAGATATTAAGTGTTCATTCCTCTTCAGTTTTAAATGAAGGTTTGATCCGAATGCATTCAGTTTAAAAGATGAAAAATCATCCAATCCAAGGCTACGTTTTGCTCTGGCGGGATGCAGGGAATATGACACAAACTCTCCTTCATCGTTGGATTGGTACGGATTTGAGACTTCATATTCAGGAACTGTGGAGGGATGAAAGATCGAAATTGTTTAAAAGTAACAGCCGGACGAAAAGACACACGCACCAAAGCACGTATAGACAGGCAGGCAGACAGACAAACGGACAGACAGAGACCTATGAACTGACCGACAGACAGATATACAGACTGGCAGAGCAAGGCAGACACACAGACAAACAGACACAGACAAATAATAAGAAATGGTTGATGGTAATTTTGCTACCTATGTGGAGCGCAAACGCATGTGGTAAGATAAACGGAAGAACTTCGATAAAAATTGTCGAAAGACAAATATAAGTACAGGGCAAGAATATTATACTTAAACTTTAACCATACCAATAAAACCTTATTAATGAACTATTTTAGAAGTAAGGACTAATTGACTGACTGATTGAGTCATCAAATCAGTTCAATAGCCTAATATTTAGGTTGAAAGACATACAGACAGACAGGATGAGATGTAGAGTGGGTATGAAGGACAAACAGCTGTTTCCTACCTTTGTTATGGTCGTCCACGTTGAAGTAATATTGAATCTCTCTCTTTGTCATGTGATGATGAAGTTTCTGTTGAAAAATCAAAAGAAATAAGTATGAAGACAATAACATGGAATTATCGTTTGACCATAACTGGTTCTCTTGTTTTTGTTTGTTTTTTCCTTCCCCATTTTTTCCTGCTCTGCGGGATCATTGGCGTGCAAAAGAGTATCAAGAATTTTAATTCTTAACGTTCCTAATGAAATTAAAATTTCATCAGTCTTATCACTAACTACGCTGCCACCTTTAGTTATCACCCTTCGCACAACGCCCTTTTACATCGGGCGTAAAAACCACAGATTAAGTTTATACATATCAAAAGGTTGAAGTAACAGCTTGGAATATCAGCGATCGTCATAAAATTAATCTTTGGTATCAGTGTCCTAGAATATACCATACCGACGACTTGGAATCAGCAAATTATCAAGAAAACAGAACTAAATCAGAGGTAAGTGATGTCGGGGAGAGAGGAAAGGGGGAAAGAACCTGTAATGGACTTCAGCTAGTCCATGGGGATCAACAATACTCCCAGTGGCTTTATTCCACAGAAACCGG